ATGCATTTAGATTTCCTCTCTTTAATGGAGCTGGAGCAAATACCAGAGTTTACAGGGCATTCTGCCTCCAAGCCAGGAGCAGACACTGCATAGCAAAGCATTTTCCTGTATGGGATGGAGCTACCACTGCCTTCCATGCACACACTTCATCAGTCCATTCCTTATCTATTCAGAAGGATATCCAGAGTTACACCTCCCACCTCAAACTTTCAGTCTGAACCCATGCCAAGCAAACCCTATGGAAATTTGTTTCTAATCGAGACGAATTTAGAAGTCACCATTATAAACTCATTTTACTTCTAATGCACTCTTGGCCCTACACAAATCCCTCCTAGGTGTAGGATATCCAGGCATGGATATCGCATGGAGTGACTCCATGGCATGAACCCATCATCTGGCAGAATCTGAAAGACATTTGAGTGTTGCTATTTGTCTTTTGAAGCAGAAAACCCATCTTTTATCTTAATCTCTTGTATAATATTATTACTTTGTAATAACTGTCTTCAAAATTGCTCCATTGAATGCATTTCCCTCTTGTCTGAATTTCTCAGTTGTACCCTATTCCCCCATGAATTTTGGATCTATTACACACAAAGTGCCCAAAACCACAAACACTAAATCACAGAAATTATGCTGATGCAGCAAAACCATGTGTCTGCTGTAAGAAAACTAGGCAGAAAGCCCAATCTCATTGGTTTATAGAGAAATGAGTAGGAGAGCAGTGACATAAATATTTGAAACCTCTTGTCTTCTGATCAGAATGCAACTCAGGTGTGTGAGGATTAAGCTCTGGTTGACTGCTACTTGAGGTGCATTAGTATAGCTACTTAAAACTGAATAATTCCATCAAAGGCAAGGTTCCTCTGTTTGAAGTCAGGCACAAAATTATTGAGCAGCATCAGTTCCAAGTTGAATAACACACCGATGAATAACCAAGTTGAATAACACACCAATGTCCCTACACCATTGCCAGCAACACTCAAGAATTTGCTGGGTTTTTTTTCAGAATACTTGAAATGGAAATAGAACTCATTGTACTCTTTTTAAGGACATTTCCTTCAATTGCTCACGTGATAATGAAGAATCAGCCCAAACGTACAAGGTAAACAAAGAAGTGTAGAGAGAACCTAACTTTGGCCAGATAAAAGTACAGATATGAATATTTAATGTAGATTTCTGCAGGGTGGCTGCAAATAGGGCATGATCCAGTGTGCACACAAAATACAGTGCAGCTCTGAAAGGTGCTGGGTGAATGAAGGGTTTGGCAAAACTCAACCATTCACCTAACAATAACCAGAAAACAAGTGTGCACTGGATAACCAGGCAATGACTGTGTAGTGGCAGCATGATCCATTAGAAGTCTGCATTCCCATCACACTATCGTACTTGTTCCATAAACAATGGATGCATTAACCTCCAAAAGTGTCAGACCTCCTGGGCATATCACCAGGACTTTTTATACAGCAAAAATATAGCAGGTGATGCCCTTCACTAAAAGATGACTTGCCTGGCCCTCCATCATGACATCTACCATGTCTGCTGTGGGCCTGACACTCGACCATTGTTGAGTCTCATTTAAGCCCAAAACCCAAAGAAAACCATTGACTTCCAAGGCTGCAGCTGCACCAGGGCGTACCTGACCAACCAGGCCCTTCTTCAGAGTCATCACTTCCCTGTCTAAACTGGTATGCTTTAGGATTTACCTGGCTTGTATCATTTTGTCAATCAGAGAATTTGAGGGTAAGGGGCTTTGTCTACTCCTTCTGCTAATTTAAAAAAAAAAAGAAAAAAAAAAAAAAACAACTAAAAAAGCTGACGGATTTCACTCTTCAGTTATCTATTTCCTAGCTACCTGTGCCAAGAACAAAGACACAAACCTTAAGAGGTTGTGGCTATTTTTTCTTTTGAAATTTGAGATCTTCTAGCACTGCTCTTTCCCTTTCTGTACCCATTAAAATGTCTCTGTTTTGTAACTGATAAAGGTGCCTCTAACACGTGTCCCCAACAAGGAGCATTGTCTGCAGTTACAATTGGTCAATAGATGCCCAGTCCCAGACAGATGGTGCTTTATCTTCACCCTCTTGTCAAGACAGCATAATGCATTGTCCTGTCAGGGATTAATGGAAGTGCCACTCACATTAGATGCTAATTCTGGTACAAGTCTGTTAGATGTTACAGTTACTCCTTCCCACTAGTGTTTGTGACAGTCTGTCCACACTAGACCAGAAGCAGGACATCCAGGAACTAAGGGGAGGAGCACAATGGAAAAATCTATGCAGAATGCAACCTTGTGGTCAATAGGAAAGGGTAATTTAAAAAGCAAGAGGATGATAATAATAAAAAACATACAGAAAAACAGCAGAAGAAAAAGTGACAACTGAATATTAAAGCAGAAAAAACACAGATCAGGAACCAAGAGGGAGGTTAAAACAAAAAATCTGACACAACAGAAAAAGAGCCTTTTCTCAGTAACGATCAACATATCACATCATCAGAAAATCAGCACTAGAATGGTGTCCATAATGGGGAAGAGCAGCTGTAATACAGGGCAGAATGTAGGTACAGTGAAGGTACATTATTCCACTGTTGGATCTTCCCTCACTATGTAGGCCAACGCATTATTGCCTTATAAAAAAAGAAGTAAATGTTTAACATATTGAATAGGTACGCAGTTGAGTAGTGATTATTAATGAACAGATGAGTCTCAAACTGATTTCAAGATACATACTCCAAGAACAATATGCCAGGAGACATCTGCATAAACACTATAAAAGACAGGTAATTCAGAGATAAGTTTTCAGCTCTCTCATGGACCCTCTTTTTTGTTTAGAGAAGAGATTTGAGATTTAAGTCTAATTTGAGATGCCTCCACACATGCAGCCTCAGTGGACTGACAACCTTCTAGACTCTAAGGAGCTTATGCTGCAGCATTTTTATCACATTTTCCTTTTTGTATTGTGCCCATTTACCATGGTCTGTAGCTGACAGAGTGGGGTAGAGGAAATCCAAGTATTGGAGCCTTCTTTCTGAAAAGTCACTGGAGAATGGGAAATATTTTGTGCTTGAGAGAAGCTCCTACATATTTATAGGGATGACAAACCTAGTTAGAAACTCCATGGTCACAAAATTTCTAATAACTGGCACTATCATGTCACTAATTGGTCAAGGCCTTTCACTCTGCATTTCAGAAGAGGTTGCTTATGAGAGAAAGGGAAGAAAGGCAAGGAAGAAGAGGCTATTCAGAGATGTTGATCAAACCTGAAAAGCCAAACCATGGCAGCAGATGGTAGATGGCAAACAGGAAGGTTTTGTCAAAAACTCAAATAGTATAAAAATAGTGGAAAGAAGAGAAGCATTCTGACAGCATGAAATATTAACCTTTAAAGATGCACAAGGAAATGCATATACACCGTCTGTTGCTCCATTAATAGATAAAGATGGAGCAATAGAGTAAATGCAAGGGAAATGCAATAGCAAGAGCAGCCCATAACAAGTTTATGCACTGAGATGCAGCTTGAATCCAGGTCCTGAAACAGTGTATTAGACCTTAATGATTTCAAATCCCTTCTGAGAGTTGGAGACATGAGGTACACTGTTAACTTCTCACAGTCCTGTACTGCATATTAGAAACTGTGGTCATGGTAAAAAGCAGATGAACTATTAAACAGGAAAACTCCATCTGGTTCACAAAATCAATGAGCTGTAAATAAAAAAAAAATCTAATAGGGCACACCAGGAAATTAAACCTGTATACTTCTGCCAGTCTCATATTTTTATTTGTCATAGGATCTGCTGCTACCAGACACTAGGAATGGAATAGATGGACCAGATATATCATTGCATGTTTGTTCATTTTTATGTCTTTGTTTATAACTTTTGTTACTGAGAAAGGACTCACCAAGGAGATGGAAGAAGTTTATTAATTACAATGTTTGACATCCATTATAGGACTGAAAACCTTGTCTGGAGCCAAGGACAATGTAGGTTGATACCTAACTAGTCACTCCACACTCCAAGTGAACATAGTTCAGTGACACACTTCGAGGCTCAGACCTCCTTCACCTCCATTTGCAACAGTCCTTGCTATTCCCATGTGGACCTTCCTTGAGTAGTGCTTATGGTATTGGCCAGAAAATGTTCTGATTGTGTGACTGCATACAAATTGGATGCCAGAAGAACATAGATATTTCTTTATTGGACCAAAAGTGTTTTCCCAGTTCAGAGCCACAGGATGAACTTTTTCTCTCAGTCTCCCTTTTTTTGTTCCTCATTCCTTATGCAACTCTGGCAATGCAATTACCATCCCTTCACAGTATATCTCTGCATTTCAGTACCAATGTAGCCATATATTGATATACTGCAGATGGACTTAAGTTTGACACATCATTAAAGCAGCTGGTCACCACAAACTCCCTCTTTAGCCCATAGGGAAAGATCAGATCCTACAAGTCTCCCTCACAGCAAGCATATTGCTTTAACCTTCAGCTCCTGCTACTCAAGCCATGAGATTTTTCCATGTAGAAGAGCCCAGCTAAATTCCCTACTGTCCTGCTAAGCTGACTTTACTGGCAACCCAAGATAATGAGTGCCCAAGCCTTTAAAACACAATGCGTTCCCTCTCAGTGACAAAGATGCTGCCTTATGAGAGTCATAAAAGATGTGTTTATCTTTACAAAAAACATGTATTCTCCTTTAAGCCACATGTTTTCTACAAGTGAAGCTCTACACAGTTGGATGAATAAACTGTAAACTCTTGCAATAGTTCCATTTGATTAAGCAAGATTCATTTTACAAATAACTCAACTTATGTCAGTCCCAATTAAACTAACCAAATGATCAAGCACTTAATGTCTAGGGGTGAACAAAGTTTCATCAACATCAAGGTTTCATTTTTATAAAAAAACATTTTTCTCCACCACAACTGTGTTAAAACAGAGCTTACTCACTAGTCTTTGGTCTCATTTTTAATATGCTGTTAGTATCTATAAAACAGATCTTACCTTGATCTTCTGAAGAAACCGGTGACCTGGAATAAAACAACAAAATCCAGTCAATCTTGGGTAAAAGGAAGGTCATGAATAAAGTTCAGTCTCAGTCTAGGGAATGGGATATATAGAATTTGAAATGTTTAGTCTTTATTCCTTAGAAGAGAGGTTTGAAAAGCATCTGACCAAAAAAAAAAAAAAAAAAAAAATAGAGCTGAACAGGTCATCTAGCAGCAGATTCTGCAGGCCAGAGTGACCATATGGAGGCATCTCTGTGAGGACTGATGCAAAGACTGTCTGTAGATACTTGGCAGAAACTCACCTGCTACTGCCACTGCCAGGAAAAAACCTCACAACAACGGGTGGTCAAGGAAATTACATCTTGCTAGGAACTCACACTCATTACAGTGGCCATTTTTTTGCCATAATCAAATCAATGTAGTGGTCAGCATAAAAAAGTAGTCATAACTAATAGGAACTGATGCCATCTTCACAAAAGTAACACAACAGATCAAAAAAACAAAAAAAAAACGGTCTGCACAGATGTAAGTACAGAAAAAAGCAACATACCAGCAGTTATCAGTTTTTGTGTTATATCCTATAACACAAAAGTTATAGGATATCCCAGCCAGTGGATTAGGAGTTTGATAATATCCCAAGAGAGGGAAGGGGTACAAAACACAAGTGACCTCACTGTGTCCCTGACAAAGAGAAGAACCCCAGTGAATTCCAGGGATTTGTGTCACAGTTCCCCCATCACTAAGGATCACATCCTGATGGTTTTGGTCACCACCTAGAACAAAGGAACACCTCCATTTTCCCCTTTGCTGCAGTACTGTGGCTTAGCAAAACTGAGGCTAAGCATGGAGCTGAATCTGGGATGTAGCTTCATTGCTCAGACCAGACTGACAGCACACAGTCCAGAGGACTGGACCATTCCTCAGCACTTCCCCAGCACAGATATCAGTTGCATACACAGCCTTCCCACCCAATGAGTTTGTTCCTGCAGCAAGTGAAGCAACCCATATTTCCTTTTCAAGATATTTAATTTCACAACAATGTACAAAAAATAACAAATTAGAAAAGATTTAAAAATGTTAGTGTTGCCAGCAAACAGATCAAAGCCAGCATATGAAAAGCAGCCGCAGAGGGGTGAAGGGAAAAGAAGGAACAAAGGGGAAAAGAGCACATGTATATTTAACTGAGTCAGCAGGGGCTGAGGGCTGGAGGGTGAAAGAAGTGAAGGAACACTGGGTTAGAGGAATAAAGAAGCTGAGGAAGAAGCCATAATCTTATTTCATAACAGGGGCTTGAAAATGAAGGTTGAGGGATTATAGAACATCAGAAGCAGATATGCAAATATGAAGATGCAAACAGGAAAAAATGAAAGAAAAGAAGGAAGCTTTCCTGCCAAAGTATGTAAATTTTTTTTTTTTGCTGTAAAATAGAGAGAGATTTGCAAATTAAGAGAAGAAAGAGAGCACAGCTGGAGCAATGGTCACTGTGAAAGGGAAAAAAAATTGATTGCCTAATTAGGATTCTGGCTGCACAAGAAGCCAATGTGTCTGTATGGATCAGAATTAATTAATCCTCTACTCCCATTAAAGGCTCTGATTGCTGCTGAACATCCTAAGCATGTATCCTGCTCTGCTGCAGCCAGGCCAGCTCTGCCTTCACCCTTCATCCATGTATGTGGAAATACAGCAGGAATGCAGGTAACCCAAAGGATTTAGCAGGCACCACTAGAACTGTCCTGCTTTGACCAGTCAATTACAGACTTTTGTCCTTAGCTCCTAGCAGAACCCCTTCTGAACATCAAAACCCACTGCATTTTCTACAAGGCTAAACAAATCAGAATGGGTCATATCAAGAGATTAAAGTTTTTTAGATACTTGAAAATATTTTTACGCACAAGAGTCATGTAAGATTCCTTGGCTCACATGTTTTGACTCTCCACCCATTGCTAATGCAGTATTGCACTGCATCAGCAGAATTTATTCCTTTGTTTTGTTTCTTAATTGCCCAGTTTCATCACCTTTCAGTTCTTTATTTGAAACAATAAAATAAACAATACAGATTATCCTATAACTTGGCTCTTCTTTATGCTTGGTTAAACAGATGTCATTAGTTCCTTAAAGCATCAACAACAGAAGAGATGTTATTACAATACCAATGCTTTCTCAATTAAAACATTGATTGAAGAGGAGGATGAAAAATATGTTTATTCATATTTTGTGTGCCTAAAATTATTATATATTTTTCAAGATATTATTGCCTTTTTGTTTTGTTGCACATCTCAAATACAATGTTTGTAAGAAATTTAACATTACTACTAATGCTGCTATCAGTGGTTTTATTTGAAAGGATCCATCAAGTAACTGTGTAGCCTGGTATCCAGAGAAAATAAGGTTTAGATAACCTTATTTATATCAGTTTCATCAGGTTTATATCAGTATCTTGATGTATACATGTGCACCTTTCTGTCTCACCCTGATAAACTCTGAGCTTGTTGGCTCATTTCATCCCTTGTTAATTGACAGAGAGGCAATTGCTGCTTTCACACAGCAGGAAACAAAATAGCATAAGCTCAACTTTTCTGATGTAGCAGCAAAGCCACAAAGGAAGGTTTTGAATATCCCAGCCACAGGAAAAGCCTCAATGTGATCTTCCATCACTGGAGATACCAAAGGTTCAACGACAATAAACTGGGCTTCCTTTGTTCCACTACTGACATGAAGTATTTTGGCAAAGAGCAGAGAGGACTTTCAGCATCCTCCTACGATTCCAGGCCATAGAATTTAGCAAGGGGGAGGGAGGCTTTCCTAACTGCTAAAGTCCTCTCCTAACTACACCAAGGGGAGCCTTGTTTGTGGCTATGATGGAAGGAAGTGAAGATGCAAAAACCTCCACACTAAAGAGAATTGGGCATTTTGTGCACTGACTCATCCACCCCATGCTTATGGCAGGCTCCAAGGGAGGAAGGAGAGAAAGGCTAATGACCTGCTCTAAACCACATCCACTCACTCCACAGCCACAGGGAGCTTTCCTGACAGGAACAAAAACTCCAGTAGATGCTCATATTTCCGGTCACACATCTTTCTCTCAGGTCTGTAAGAAGTGTGAGAGACATGCTGTGGCAGCACTGGTCACCAGACAGGTGTTCCAAGAAGGGAGGATTCTCATCTGCTAACATCCACACAGGAACCATCTGTCTAGTGCCTGTCAGCTACCCTCCCAGTATGATCCTGGCTATGTGTTTTACTGTCGTAAAGAAGCAAGTTATCATCTTCACAGCCTCCATGCCTTAAAAAAAAAATTAGAGAAAAGTCAGAGATGCTTCAGGAAAACTAATATACTGTCAAGGTCTGTGGTTTCACCTGGGTCAAAACACTTTGCCAAATGACATCTTGAAGAGATTTTCATTTGGTTAAACAAAACAGAAAAAATCTTCAGGAAAAGGTTCAGGCACTGCAATATCCTGTTCTTGGCCATTTCAGAATGGAATAACTTTTTACTTTATATATATATATATATATATATATATATATATACACACATCAACTCTGTTTTTCTTCTGGTTTTATCTTAGTGTAAAATTAATTTGTAGAAAGAAAGGATCACTATCTCCCAAAGAGAGTAAAGGCAGGCCAGATTATCTGTGACTGACTACATTTCCAGAGTCATGAGATTTAACTGTCTCTTCTACCAACAGTGATATTTATTTTCCCATGCATAAATGAAACTGGGGAGCCTGATTTCACTTATTTTCACCAAAGGCTTTAATCTGACCTTCCTCCTGCTCTGGTTTTACAAACAGCTATTGTTGTAGCAGATAGTTTGAGTAAAGACATATTTCTGTGATAGGAAAGAGGATCAGAAGGAAGGAGCAGGAAAAGCAGATTGTCAAGAAAGGTCTTAACATCTGTGTTTGCTTTCCATGCTGTTCATAGCCCTCCTTTCTTACAGGTCCTGCAGCAGTTTTCTCCTGTTGCAGAGTGGCAAACTCAGTCCAGAGGGATAACAGAACTTGCAAGCCTCAGCCTGCAAGGGGAGGCTGTGCCAGGTCTGTTCCACCAACCCTTGTGCAAGAAAAGCAATATCCTTTGGGCTTAATGCAAAATCCTCAAGCATCTTCCAGAAATCAAGGTACACATCCTTAGAAATGCATAAAAAAGCCATAAAAGTAGTGTAAAAAACCCCCTGATCATACATACACAAGATGCATCCAGCAAATTGGAATACTTACAATACTGAAGGTGTGAGACCTGCCCACCTGAAATCACAACAGGCCTCCAAGTTCACTGTCTGATCCAGAGCTCACTCTTGCAGGGTTTGGATGAATTGCTGCAGAAATCTAATCCTCAGTATAGACAAGGCAACCTTCAGTATCATACAAGCCTCTCTCAAAGAGCCAAACAGCCAGAGCTGTTTCCAAGTGCACATTCCAATGTGCAAGCACTAGGTTTGCTCAGCACTAGATGAGTGGAAGCAGGAATATTCATTTCTAAGGAGGGAAGTACAGGGAATGTCACAATTTTGAGCCTAGTCAACTGAGACTTAGGAACCTAGACATGTACAGCCAGAGTCCAGGAGATGAATACTAGCAAAATTTCAGCCAAAGAGTACATTATTCATGAAGACAAAAGCCTTTGGAGAAACTAAGTTGGAGCTGATGTAAAGCAGCTATTTTAATCAATAAACCTGTAGCAGAAACCATCTGCAGCAGGCCTATTTAAAACCAGCCATTTAATATTTAAAGGCCAAATAACAATCTCTATGCAGCAATTCTACTGGGGTTTATGACCATTCCACTTTTTTCCTGCTTAAGGAATGTATTTCTGCCAACTTTTTAATTCAGTCTGACAACAGCTGCCTGTGATGAGGGGAGAGCAAGAGCTGTCAAATTAAACCCATTCCTTCTCATTTTGCAAGTGCATCTCTTCAGAATCAAAAGTGGCATCCCTGTTGGGATTTATTCACATATCCTCTGATTGCAAATGAAGAAAATTTTTAGCACTTCAAGAATTTTTAAAATATAGGG